TAACTTGGTTTTTGTTCTTTATTCCACACTGAGTGGAATCGATTAACTTCATTTCAGAATTAGTTCGAATGTGAGGGCGACTTCTGAGAACTTTTTCTTACTTTGATGATTAACCGTTATTTGCACCCCCAATTTGGCATGCTGCGTAACGAGTTAAACGCCTTGATGGTCGCGTAGAGGGGAGTGGACAGGACAGTGCTTCTTTTCTTCCTAACTTTCTTCATGATTCTTACTTCCTCATGACTTTTTCCAAGAGTTTCGTAAGCTCTTATGGTTTCAGTTATGCACCCGACACACGGATCCAGCGGGGACTCGATCCGTGGGTAGTCCAAAGGGAGCGCCCTCAGTCTAACAGCGCCTCAACCACCTGAGCTATTCAGTGATATATCTATATATATTTAAAAGTCCATAATAAATATATTTATTGTAATTTCAACAAAATTGAAAGGGGTCGGGGTCACAAGTAATTGATTTTACGTGGAATGACCTATATATACATATATACACATATATACTTACATCATAATATTATTCACGAAGAGGATGTTATTTTCGTTATATATTTGCGAAAGTTCAAAGTTTCTTTTTCGTCTGTGATAATTTCGATCAGTATAGTTTTTGTTATCATCGTTCCATGTCATTCATTTGGCCAAATTAAAAAACGCGCGTTTCATATATCCCTCTATACTAGAAGAACGAAAGGAGACAAATATTTTTTTTCTTTTTTGTCTTTCAATGATTTCACGGTATGTCAAGATATACCGTTCAAACGGAACAATTTTCTAGACGCATTTCTAAAACAAACAACAACTCTGATCCCGTTTCAGGTATTCATCTGTTGGATAGAAAGAAAGATTATTTACTGATGCCTATCTCTACGGAAAAACTAAAGGGAAATTTCTCTCTTTATATACATACATATATATATATCTTTTTCTCTCTTTCTCTCTCTTCATTTTCGGCTTTATGGGATTTCACGAAAAGGCAACATGTCCGTTAGTCTTTCGAATGGCAGAATCCAATAGATCTCATATCGCTACTAACACGAATCTCTCAAAAAAAACCTTTTTTTCTATTTTCCTTTTTTGTTTTTTTATTTTCTTCTTCTCTTTTTTCTTTACCGAACCTATATCGATAGTTATTCGGTATTATAGTTTGAAAGCTGCGTGGTAGTAACAGATTATCAATCGTACAAAATTGCATCAACAAGAAATGAAAAAAGAAAAAAAGTGTTTTGAAAAAAAGGGAGAAAGGAAGAAAGAGAGTTATAGGTTGTTTTGTATCGCTTTCGTTTTCGTTCTCTCTCTTTCTCTTTTTCTTTTTTATTTTTTTCTCTTGATAGACGGGAAATGGTAGGATCGACTTACCTTAGTCGTTGGAAAATGTCATTATCGAGTTCGGTGTCTCGTGAAACCGACTCGGATCGGCGCTCGTTACGCCTTCCCAAACGGACACTCGACCTCGTTTAAAGGTTCTCGAGGGCGTCCTTTCAGACCACCGATCCTTAATTAATCTGGAAATCGAGTTGAGGAGAAGGAAGAGACCCCGGAGTTGTGCTGATAGATCGAATCCAAAGGGGTTAAAAAGATAGAGAGAGAAAGAGAGAGAGAAAGTGATTCAGAGAAACAGTGTGAAAGAAAAAGAGAGATGGACAAAGGAAGAAAAAGGGTGGAAGGGGGAAGGAAAGAGGGAAGATGGAAAATGATAGAGGATAACGCCAGAGAAAACTAACTCGTTTCGAGAATTTGAGCGGCTTATAAGTACGACAAGGGTTGCATTCGCCAAGAGAACAATTTTTCCCTTAGCCGTTCGAATAATCCCTTCGATTTTATTGTTTCTTTTCCTATTTCTTTCTTTCTTTCTCTCTCTCTCTCTCTCTCTCACGCTCTCTTTCTTTTTGTTATCCTTAAGTTTTCTATTTAATCCCTTCTCTTTATCTTCCTTATCACTGATATTATCCCGCATTCCTATCCCCTCCTCTTCCTCCTCCTCTTTCTTTTTCACTCCCTAGTCTTTACGTGCGCGAACTACCTGGCTTCCTTTAGTGGTTTAGAAACTTCTCAAACAATCGGAGCCTTTCCTTTCCTCGAATAAGTCAAACGCTAATCTATAAAGCGAATTTCTTTGAGAAGAAGAGAGAGAGAGGGCGGGAGATAGGGGGGTGGTTGGATCGGGGGGTTAGTTAATTAAGTTCAGGAGAAAAACGCTTGGGGAAGTTCTTCAAGAAAAGGAGGCATTGATGGAAGTTTCTTTTTTTGTTTTTTTTTTTTTTTTTCATTGATTCTTTCCTTCTTTTTCCATTTTTTTTCATTTTTCTTTATTTTTTTATTTTTTATTTATTTGTTTTTTCTTTCTTTTTTTACTTTTATATAATTATTATAATTATTATTATTATTATTATTATTATTATTATTATTATTATTATTAATTATTAATATTAATATTACTTATTCTTAATGTATCCATAGAGCAGACATTTTTTCGATGATGTAGTCGACAGGTATTTCGAATCTTGTAAAATTAATGTTAATACGACATTAATGTTATACATATATTTATATATTTATATGTTTTTGTTGTAACTCGTATGCGTGAAATCTTTGACGAAAAGTACAAAAGATTTCTCTTATTCTTCTGTATTTTTTTTTTGTCATATACATACGTTTATTTTTCTGTTTTCTGTTTTTTTTTTTCATTTTTTGCAATTTTGTTTAAATTTTTTTTTTATTTCTTTTGATTACTTTCATCGTTCCTCTATAAATTTTTCACTTTCCTCAGACATTTGTCTGAAACGCGATTATCGATAAATCTATACGCACAAATTCGTACACTATTTACAATATTGGTATTTTTTTTCTTCCCTTTAAACTTTGACTTATTTATTTATTTGTTTGTGTTTTTTTATTTACTTTTATATTCATACGTGCGCGTGGTGTACGTTATCTGGTGACGTGTGTATATGTATTTTTATATTTATATATATGTGTGTGTTTTATAATATGAGCGTATACGTACGTGCAATATGCGATATCTTTTGTAAAATTCCAATAAAAACATATGATCTTTCTATCTAAAGTTTCAAACACGTAGAAATGAGGAAATGTGTTGATAATAATATAAATCGGAATAACATTTATTACAGAATTTATTTACGATGGCAAGTGAGGTATAAAGAAATATGAAAAATAAAAACATAAAGATTTGATTGAAAAATTATGCCTTTGGCACACATTGAATATTCCTGAATCTTGTATTGCTTGGTCCGTGATTAACGAATTATCATCGTACTTTTTTTATTCGTGCTTGCATGCAAAAGATTATTCTCGGTTATAAAAAAATGAATAAACAAATATTACAAGATATAAATATTCTTCCGTAAGTTTATAATTTTTTTTTTTTATTTTTTTTTTTATATATATATAACGAGATCGCACATAATTTTTACGTTTTCGTTCTGCAAACGGATTATTTTTTTCTTTTTTTTTTAGCATATTCTTTTGTACATAATCGATTAAACGAGTGAGTGAGGCAATTAAAACGTATTTCTCATTTTTTTTAAATAGACTAACAATTTCAATAGAGAGAGAATATTTATTTCAAGACTGTGTGTGTGTGACGATTACTTATAACAAGAAGCATAATATATTTGATGAATTATTATTTTGTCGATTTTTGAGAATTTTTTTTTTTTATAGCGCGACAATATTAGACACAAACCATATTTTAACCACGGGTTGAATAAATCGATCTTATGAAAAAAATTAACTGATCGATTAAATGCGTTAAAATGCATTCATTATCATCATCATCTCCAAAGAGAGAGATTTTTCAATGTTGAATATCGCAATCGGTGGCAAACTAGATGATCATCAATCGATCTTCATCGAGTACTTTCAAGCTAATTCCAACTAACCCATAAGAAGCACAATAGCATTGTAAAGGAAGGGACTAGGATTGAACTGGATCCCGACGACTTCGGGGCTTCTTGAGCGAGTCTTTGATTACTCGCCGCTAACGTGGCAGTTTTTTCCGTCTTGAATGGTGGTACGTTCGGTATATCCGGTAAGGAAGATTGACAGACCAAGTGGAGAGTTCCTCCAGGAAAGTGTTGACGTTCCAAACGCAAAGAGAAACCCAATCTTGACGTTGATATCAAATTTTCTTCTATGTCCGTTGGTATTTCCTTCATTATCGCTTTGTCAACCTATTTGTCCAAATCAAAATTACATAATTGAACATAGAGATGAATATAATGTAATTAAAAATTAAAAAAATGTTAAATAATAAGAAAAAGAAAAACGTTAAATATAAATTTGTATGAATTACGAATCCGGTTAATATCTTAATAAAAGATTTAAAAAAAAAAATTACCACTAGAACGATAAGGATCGATCAATTGATATAATAATAATCCTGTCTCGTTAATTTTTTACTTGATTAAAACAAAAGGTAGGAGGGGATCAATTGAGAACGAACGATTGTAAATATATTCAGAATATCAATGTTGCGGTTGTGGGGGGTTAAATGGGTAGGGGTTCGGTCAAGTGAAAATTTATGACATTGTTACGAGAGCATATAGATGTACAGTAGTAGTAAAGTATGTCGTTGGACGGGTGCAATGGAAATTGCGATTGTGCACAAATCACGTTAGATTTAGGTACTTTGGCAATACGCCAAAGGCAATTGCGGTGCTTAAAGCGTAACATGAAAAATCGTATCTTGTATTCGCGAATAGAAGGATATGTATAGTTATTTGTCAAGCGATAAGAGGGTTAAGTTTAAATCTAGCTTGTATGTTAAAAAAAAAAGATTTTTCTCTACTTTCGAGCACGAAATTTTGTTGTTCTCGTCCCCTTCTCCCCCGAAAGGAACACAAAGAAAATGAATACACATTCTCGAAGTTTCTCACTTACATTTTTCGTACTTTTAAACGATCGAATATTTTTTAGAGCGTAACTAGATTGCCCCCCTAACATACATAAACGCATAACCGCGCATAATTTCGCGTTTTTCTAAAGCTTGTTCCCCTTTCTCTCTCTCTCTCTCTCTCTCTCTCTCTCACTTATAACGTGACACGATTTCTTTGAACGTTAACCATACTTGACTCACTTCTTTGCCGTTGAGAATAAAGGTTAGCACTGGTGGTGGGTAACTTAATGCAGATGTGCACGCTGCTTCCAGGACCTCGCCAATCTCATAATAAGGTCGAAGCCCGTCAAGAGCAGGCGGACTTTTCGGTAAAACTGCTACGCTCATATTTGCTTCGGCATACGTCATACGAAAACTCGGTGCCTCAGATGACACCTCGCAACCATACGATCCGCCAAGATTTATTCTCTCTGTCAATTTAAAAAAAAACAAAATAGCATATCATATTTTTAATCTTTAACGTGTCAATACTTTTCTTTCTATTTTTATTGCTTTTTTTTCATATATACACCTACGATAGATTCATGATAAAAGAATACGTTATAAAGGGGAGGGAGTTACGTTAATATTAGTAATCTTAAATAAAAGATCCAAATATATATTATATATATTAGGGTGGGTCAAAAAAATCAAATTTTTTTTTTTTAAGTGCCACGGAAAAATAGGTTGCTAGATACCTTAAAAAAATTCTCACCAAATATGAGCTCTTAATTTTAATAGGAAGATCCTCCGCATCACAGTTTTTTATTTTTTTCTCAGTCCAATAGAATAAAATTCATACCTCATCATTAATTGATTGTACAGAAAAATGTTCTGGAAGAATTTTGTAGGTAATTTAATGCTCTACAAAAAAGGTATCTTATATTTTTTCCGTAAACTTCACCATTTGAATGATATTGAAGATTTAAATTTGATTATTTTAAGACAAATTTATTTTTGTTTATGAATTTTATAACTCGACAATAAATGACTATTACAAAATGCGCAATACAAATTTTTGTAGGAAATTAACTGCTCTATAAAAATGGTGTCTTATGTTTTGGCGATTAAATTAAGCGTTCAAAAGCGTTCAAAAGATATTCATCATCCAACTTCCATGTGTACTGATTTTTGTCTCTGAATATCTTTTGAACGCTCTGAATATCTAGCAACCTATTTTTCCGTGGCACTTGTAAAGAAAAAATAATTGATTTTTTTGACCCACCCTAATATATATATTACATATTTATTATTATATTTATTCTTAATTTTAAATATGATTGAATTTTTATGAAAAACATCAAAGAATAAGGGACAAAAATAAAAGGATAAAAAAAATGACAAATTCATTATTTCTATTTCCATGGAATAATTTGTAATAAATGGAACAAAATTATAGAAAAATATTATACCATATGTATCTTGTTTAATTAATTCGGTAACATACTTCTGCGATCATTGGATTGTCCCAGTAGCGTCACTTGTCGTCCATCGCTCCGAGCAATATCAACGGCGATACCTTCTACGGGAAAATATTCACCAACTGGTCTCGAACTCGGCATAAATCTGAAGAATTCAACTCCATCCTTGAACCATTTAACCGAATAAAGTTCTTTACCACCTAAATCGTACTCGCATCGCAACGTGACGTTTTCCCATCTTGGGTCGACAATATCCGGCACGTCCAGTCTCACTATTTTCGGTTCCTGTCCTGAAATAATCGATAACATGCAAGAATTATGATCCATTTTTGTTTTCGTTAAAAAATATAGCTCGAATCTTTTTCCCTTGTGTTACCTTGTGAAAATGCTTTCAATAACACGCGGTACAACGATTCGAACGATCGTTATTCTAGCCAATCTTTTAATAAAACAATGTTTACGACGATAATCGCTTGCGCTTTTGTTTCTACGTACACGTACAAAAAAACATTATACGAAATATTTCGATAAATATATCTTTTTTTTTTTATCAATCAATATCCTTTTCACTTTGTTTTCATATTTAATCCGTGTTCAATTTTGACGTTCGATAAAATGTAATAACTTTTAAGTTAGATTTAAATGATCACTTCGATATCATTTTTATTGACAATATCGGTATGATTTTTTTCAAGTTTTCATATCAGAGATTACTAATAAAATCGTTATTTTTATATAATAAATATTGCTGTAAGTTTTTTTTTATTTATTTATCATTACAGAAAAATAATTTCTAAATAATTTGAAATATGAAAATATTTTCAAATAAATAATATACCACTATTTTCGTAATTAATTTCTCATATCTTGAATCAATTTTATAACGATTAGAATAATCGATTGTAATAATTGATTAAATTGAATTTTTTGAATTAATTTTATCACGGAATGAAGGAACAAAATGACCTATGAGAAGATATGAAATTTGATCATTAAAGTCTGATAGAATATTTTATAAAATATTTTGAATTTTTTATAAAAATGTCCTTTTACACATAGCAATTATTTCTACACCTTACGAGTAGAAAGAAAAAAAATGGAAAGGTTTTTAAACAAATAGGTTAATGAGAATTCTACACAAGTAGTACGTGCAAGAGCATATCTGCTACGTTGTAAGCACTTTTACGTTGTTATTTCGTAAATGTTTCATTATTAATTTGTTATAATATAATCGTACAATCTTTTGAAAACGTTTGCATTAAATTGACTAAGCCAGCGATAGACGTACAAGCATAAAGTTCTTACTAAAATATTTTAAACATTTGCAAAAATCCTCTCTGACCAATTCAAATGCGAAAACGAAAATAAGGTTACTTTGTGAACGATTGCTCCCGTGTTTTTCTATGATTTGAGAATTTCAACGAGAGCTACTCGAACTATTTTTTCAAGTATATGGCCCCAATTGTGAGAGTGGGTGAATTATTCTCATCCTTTGTTGTACAAAAGTTTTATTTGCTGAGCTTTCCTATAATCAAATAAAGAAACTAAACATTTTGACTAATAAACATTTACAAAAATATGTAAGCTGTCATTCAAAATGGGTACATCTAAATATTTCAATTATTTATGATTTTATGTAGGATAACGTAATAATAACTGCAATTTTCAATGAATGAAAAATAAAAAAGTGAAACAAGTTTAAAACATTCGTATTTTTATCGATATCAATTTCATTTTGCAATTCTTGTTGTATAAAATGATCATATATATTGTTAAGATAATTTTTCGTTTAATTTCGATATAATCACTATCGAAATCGTGATCCTTAATTAATTTATATTCGAATATAAAAAAGAAATTAAAAAATCCTTACGTCCAAATATTTATTTCTTATATTTTATGAATCGTTAATTTCGACTGTCGCAGATTCGTACATTTCGATTGGAATAAAATTGAGTGAGCTAACCCAATCTCGAATGGAAATATTTGTTAGAAGAGATTGAATGAAAATAAGGAATAAGAAGAGGGCAAAAGAACAAAAAAAAGAACAAAAAAAAGAGAGAAAAAAAAAGGAAAATAAATAAATAGGGTCAAACATAATGTAAATTCTTGGCAAGTCATTAACCGATCGATCGTGTTCGAAAGGGAGAATACATTAATGTATATATTTATCGTGCACCAACGGCTGCTCAGCAGTTACCGCAAACATCGTCGTAATTAAAAATATTCGTTTAACCAACCGTACGTGTAATTATCGCCGTCGAAATCGTGTATTCAACGAGTCGAAGCGTAACACGTAGTATAAAATGCAAAAGAGGGAAAGACCGACGCCCGAACGTACGAACGAACGAACGAAATGGTTGGTCCGAGGGTTGAAAAAGGGTGGTTGTTGCAGCAAACATTCATTAAGATCTTTCCAACTAAAGTTTTATACCAATCTATAGAATGCAAAGATTTTTCCTGTTTTTTTCTTTATCTTCATTATTCGACAAGAATATTGATCGAAACTTCGTTGAATTATTTATTACATTTTTAAGCATTATCTTCGAGCTCGTATCTCTTGGCTGAAACATTTTTTTGCTTCCCTCTCTTTTATGTAGGATTATAAAAGTGAAAAACGATCCAGCTGATATCTCGTGACGTTCCATGGTAAATTGGTATTTACTCACATAAGCAAGTAACTTGAGTGTCTACGTATATGTATGTATACGTAGATAGATACATTTAGAAAAGTGTAAATTGGTAGGTAGGTAATTTCATTCTTTCTAGTTGATACAACGCTTTAATCCCAATCGGAATCGTTGTATTTTGTGTCTTCTTCGAATAGAAACAGTAGTTGAGGAAATAATTGCTACGTAATAATTAACAAACGCCACTTTGCTGTTTATAAATGCTTCCGTACTTTGTGATTCGATAATAACCGACAGCAGGATTTTACGAAACAAAAGGATAAAAGGGTGAAGAGGCTTTTATAATAGCTTTCTTTCGTGATGCCGCATTTACTAGTAGTACAGTAGTGGTGGTCCATTCTTACGATGATACTACACTGAATTCCCTATGGTTTGGTGGTAATTTGACCAGAGGCTTCGCGGAACAATAACGAGACTTTTTAAATAATTCGTTGCCTTTTCAGGACCTTTGTGTGTTAGTACAAGCTGCAGTTAACTGCTATACAATAGGGTCCAACCCTTTCCGGCTTTAGCTCCGTTACAAAGTCCTTAGGGTCTATGGGAACGTATTATTATATTTGGAAATTCATTTTGATAAATTAATAAGCTCTACCTTATAAGAATCATGTTTGTACATTACTCGAGAATATTTAAATACGTTGAATTATGTTTATCTACTAATGATTTTATATTCTACGTAATATTGGTTAAAAAACATAATACAATTCTTTTATATTCGTTATTTAGATCTAATCAATTAATCGACGAAAAACAAATGAATAGGTCGTACGCGAACGGTATCTCTTTTGCATCTAATCAAACTTACTATCGTTTGAATTAATACCTACCAACGTTAGACATTTACGAATCGAATTATTTCCCAATTAGCGTAATTGACAATGACTAACAAATATTGCAGAATAGGCGAGAGAGCGGTATGTGTGTATTTTTGATTTGTGCCGATTAACCATTATACAATATTTATTTTATCGATTTAGCGAGAAAATAAGTGAAAGAATATTATCGAATGGGCAATCGATTGAACAGTGTATTTTTTCCCCGTTCGACATTTTTCTGTTATTTCGTGTTTTTGCTGTTATTATTAATAATAATAATAATAATAATAATATTAATAATAATAATAATAATAATAATATTAATAATAATAATTATAATAATAATAATAATAATAATAATAATAACAACGATTTAACAAACAAACAGATTACAAAAAAATGAAAAAAACAAAGAAAGGAAAAAAGAAAAAAAATATGTTGACCCATCATCATCGTTCATCGAATTAATTTATTTTTATTTTATCCATCTCTCATACGAAATATATATATATATATATACTACAGAAATATGATTCATATTTTATATTTCCTAGCATATTTGTATACATGCTAACGAAATTATTCTAATTATCCGCGTTTCTCGCGTACGAAATACAATGGGGGAAAAAAAAGAAAAAAATTCATGGATTTACCGAACAAAGAGCGTTCTCGTTTTTACGGTCCCTTTTGTCGACTCTTTTACATATATCACTATATGTTATTTACTTGCTCAATTTCCTGTATTCATTCTGCTCTCGTTAATCGTTATAATTACATATTCACGTTCGCTCAAGGTACTTAAGCGAATTTCGAAGTAGATCATATTCGACTTTTAACTTAATACCCTGGCCGGTAAAGTAGAAATACGGCTTATTAAAAGTTATATGTATATATACAATATATATATATAATATACTTTATTCTCAAAGCTATGTTAATTTAACTAGGATAACGATCGTAACGTTGGTTACCGTTTATAATTAATTTTTTTTCTTGAAATATATATATATATATATATAGAGAGAGAGAGAGAGAAGAAATTCCAGAATATAGATTTCTTTTATTTACATAAGCAAATTTTTCTCCTACTTTTATCATCTACTCTTTATTCCATCAAATTCGAAGATGGTGGAAACAAACATTTTGCTTACTTTCGTAAAAAAATTCATTTCTTTCTATCTTTTCCTTCTTTCTCTCTTTCTCTCTCTCTCTCGCTCTCTTTCTCTCACTCTCTTTAATTCTTTCATTCCATCTTTATCTTTCTTTTTAAACTCAATCATCTTCCATCTTTCTTCTTTTACTTTTCCTTCTTCACTTTCTATCTCTGTTCGGAACAGTAGATGGGTTCCTGGCGTACCAATTAAGCTGGCAATTAGTTTAATAATCACCAGATTAATTAATATGCCACGCGACGGCCCAGAGGACGGAAGACAATGGTTCTCCAACGCGATCCGCCTTCCTGTCGCGTTTGCTCTGGTATTATACTAAAAGAGATGAATAGAGAGAAGGAAAAAGAAAGAGAAAGAGAGTGAATGAGTGAGTGAATAAGAAGCTTCGAATCGTTTCTTCATTAAAGGTACCAAAGCAAAGAGAGTATTGAGACTCTTTTAAACTGAAAGGATTGATTTGCTTCACTGCTTCCTTAAAATGCTTCTTTACTTTGATATTAAAATTAGATCACACTGTCAGCCTTTGTTATATACACAATTGAAAGTGAATTTAAATGTCGAAACTAACAATGAGTCAACATACACCTTATATAAATATATATACATATATATGTTT